AGCTCTCTAGCTCTGACACCAAACTGCCTCATGATCTAATGCGATGGCACCAAATGGTTTATGTACATTTCCCCTAAACATATGCTGTGTCTATTTTTTTACAAGCAAAAAATGTTTTACACTTTGGGGGCTTCATTCCAAAGTGCTTTCTACCTTTTAGCAACTATATTCACATAGATAGCAAAGAAGAGACAGCAGCTGTCCTTTACTTAAAATTAGAAAATATTGTATTAAATATAATCAGGAGAGTGACAGGCTGTTTATGAATGTGGAGTTGACTGTACAGTATAATTTATTAATCCTGACTTTCCTCTTAAACAAGAATGATCATGTCAGCAGTGGTGCCAGCAATGGTAAAAATTTGAAAAAGCAATAACCACATGATGGATTCCTTCCAGTCAGGGAATGTAGTTAAAGGGGAGAAAACTTGAACTTATTCCTCTTATATTTTAAATGGATACTTTTTGCATAATTTTATTTTTCCATTTTAAAATGCAGGTGTTCTCATGTTACAGCTTCCTTTCACCTGTCACTTCTGCAAAAAAAAGGTACATACCTTTGCTCCCAATTTGCCTTTATCTCAAGGACTTCAAGCTACTTGATTCAGCTCTAACTAGAATAATTAGTGATAAACAGAGTCATGAAAAGTATGCACATATGTATTCATCACTGAGCTGTCATTATTATTATACTCAATGTATTCTAGTTTACTGCAAGGCTGATTATTATTGAAACATTAGCTTTAAATTGTTTTTTCCTTATAATGAAAAAACATTAACCCTCATTTAGTCTACTGGTAAATTGAAGGACATGAGAATATAAACATGGGGAGAAAAGAAATCAATGCATGAGAGAAAAGAAAGGAAAATTTTTTTAAAGGAAATAATAAGGGGCAGCTAGGTGGCACAGTGGATAGAGCACCAGCCCTGGATTCAGGAGGACCTGAGTTCAAATCTGACCTCAGACACATAACACTTACTAGCTGTGTGACCCTGGGCAAGTCACTTAACCCCATTGCCTAACCTTACCCCCCCAAAAAAAAAGTTCTAAAGGAAATAACAAGAGGAAAGAGTTGAAGAGGAGGGGGGGAGAGAACATGGAAACAGGAAATTCTATGAAAATAAGGTAAAAAATAAATGAGCTCCCATCCTGATGTTGTAGATCATGTTCATACTGTGCTCTGGTTTTTGATAATTTGCTATCTGTGTGACCTGGAGCAAGTCATTTAATTTCCCTGAGCCTCAGTTTCCTCATCAGTAAAATAGTTTTTACATTCTCTACTTTATTGGTTTGTTGTGAGGAAAGTGTTTTGTAAGCCTTAAAATGCTAATGAAATGTCAGTTATTACCAACCCCCAAAGGACTGTTGTGATAATCAAATTGAAGAAGGTACAAATTGAAGAAAGGGTTTTTTTTTTCAATTATAAAGGACTGTTGAATGTTCTGTGATATTGTCAAGGAGATACCTAGAAAATTAAATGGGCTACTCACCAACTGTGAATCAGTGTCTGGGTAAATCAAGTTTTATAGCAGCATTCTCAAGAAATGAAATGATTGCTAGAAGACCTCCAGAACACTTGGTAGATCTCTTGTGGAGAATTTAAGGTAAAAGACAGATAAGACTGAACAACAATAAAAAGAGTCACATAGGACCAGAAAAAATGTATGGTTTATCCACAGTGATGAAATTACAGGTAGTTCAATGTATCAAAGTAGCATCCTAAGCCCTGAAATGCTACATTCAGTAATAATAATGATGTATATAGTACTTTAAGGCTTATCAAAAGAAGTTTCCATGTATTATCTCATCTGGCACCCAACAGGAATACTGTAAGATAGTTATCCTCATTTTGTCAGTCAGGGAAACTGAGTCTTAAAGAGATTTAAGTGCTTGCCTAGGGTTATACAACTAGTGTGGGGCATTGTGGCACAATGGAAAGTCAAGTTGTTGGTCAACTATCATTTATTAAGTGCCTACTATGTACCAGGCACTATTGCTGGGGTTTGAGTCAAAGACAGATTGAAATCCATCTCTACTACCAACTACCTATTTGACCTTTAGCAAGTCACTTAATACTTTTTGGTCTCTGTTTCCTTTAGTACTTCATTTCTAAGATGTCCCCAGTTCTAAATTTATGATCTTATGATCCTAAATGTAACAAGCAGAACATGATCCTGAGGATTGTCTGACCCTAACACTAAAGGGTCTGACTGATGCACGTGCCTGCATCAGATGCACTCAGAGTCTTGACCCACAAACAGATTTTGGAAAAAGCTTTGATTACAGTGCCAATGAATAATTTTCATTACACCCATGACCATTCAATTTAAGTTCACCCTGATTTTCAATCACTCCTTACTTCATTCCAGCCTACTAGAAATTAGTTTTCTAATTATGCCTATATATTACCTGTGGTTCTTTCACTCTTCTCTTCTCCTATCATTTTCTGCCTTTATAGCTTCTCTACTTCTAGAGGATAGCCAGGAAAGGCTCCTTTGAAGATATTTTTTTTTCCTTATAAATGAAAGCTAGAGGGAAAAGATTTGTGGCTACTTAATTGAAAAAGCAATATAGAAAGCTCTCATTTTATGAATGAAAACAAACAAACAAACAAACTAATGGCCAAAGAAGATAAGTGATAGCTCAAAGTCACAAAGCTAATAAGTGGCCAAATGAAACTAGGAAATGCCTCACAACTCCCAGTCCAGTTGGTTTTTTGCTACTTTCACTGGGGGAAATGATGCAGTGACAAAGAGAACATGCAGTTGGCAATTGGGGACAGAACACATGATGATATGGACAAGTCAATCAGAATTTTGGCTGGCCTTGTTAACTTTGAAAGCTACTGATTAGAATGTACTGTTAACTGATGGAAAGTACTTTGTATAGTCTTCTTCAGCCCTATTTCCCAAATAAGATGAACATCTCAACTTTTTAATACTTTATATAACTTACATTATACAACCTCATTGAGAATATTATTTTATTCATATGTAGAATGGGGACAGTACCTACATTGCCTATTTCACACAGCAATGAGGAAGATCAAGTGAAATAAGGCACAAGAAATATTTTGAAAACTTTAAACACTATAAGATACAAAGGATCAATTATTATTTGAATTATTAGTTTGCAAATTTATCATTGTATCTAATTACTACATGCCATACACCACAAAGACATCTTTTTTTAGGTGCCTTTTCCTCCAAAATCCTCACTTTAAAGATTAGGCAACTAAGCCTACAGATGTTTAAGTGACTTGTACAAAGTCACACAGCTAATTGGAAGGGTCAGTATTAGAACTCCAGCTCTCTGACTTTAAATTCAGCACTTTTCCCACAACACCACCCTGATGAGTAGGTACGTGGCACAGTGGATAGAATGCTGAATAAGGAGACTTGAAGACCTGAGTTTAAATCCAGCCTCAGACACTAACTACCTGTGTGATCCTAAGAGAGTCACTTAACTTCCATTTGCCCATATAAAATGGGGGTAATAATAGCACCTACCTCTTAGGTTTGCTGTCAGGACAAAATGATAATATTTGTAAAGTGCTTATCACAATGCCTCACATATAGTAGGCACATAATAAATATTTCTTTCCTTCTTGATTTCAAAACCAGCCCACATTACATTTTAGCACATTAACTAGTTGTGGGATCTTAGACAATCGAGTTGTGTGCAGCTTAAGATCCTACTTCTCTACCACCTAGCAACTTCTAGAGAACCAGAGCTACACTTCGACCTGTATCAGAACTGTGCTTGGCATATAACTTCATCCACTTCTCTGATTGCGTTACTCCCTCATTTATGGAATAGGCAAAATAATATATGTAGTATCTACTTAATAAGGTTACAAGGAGGATCAGTCGAAGTAGTATTATGCAAAGCACCTTGTAAGTCTCCAAGTGTCACATGAATGTCGGATATATTTATTAGTACCACAGCTGAAACTAAATCTCAAGTCTGTTGACTTCTAGTGATTCTGACTATAGTCCAAATCCAAAGAAAATTAACTCCCAGTTGTATATATGTACATTTTTGAGGGGGTAGGCAGAGGAAGCATCTGTACGCATAATTTCATTGGTTAAGTATAGGAAATGCCCTGTGGGAAAAGCCTATCACCAATGCAGAAAAGCAACGTATCTGGAATTTATATTCTCAGAGAGTTTTCTGATACAATGTTAAGTGACTTCCATATATCATGTGGTTGGTATGCATCAAAGGCAGGACACATGTAGGTCTTTCTGAGGTCAATCCTCTATTCATTATACCATGCCACCTCTTCATAGGTTCATTAAATATAGATTATTCACCTCCCTCCACAGTTGTCCTATCACAATTTCAAAATGATCCAAAGAAATAGTCTTATGATTTCAATCCATATGTGATCCTTGATTTAGTTAAATGTTGAAATCAGAATAATGATTTTGTACAGGATATAGTGTGAGTTCAACTGGATCCATTTGTATCAATTCTGGCTTTTGTGGTAACCTTCTGAAATCTGCCAAGATTATAAGTGAAGTTTAGGGAAAAGAATGGCAAGATGGGGCATTCCTAGGAAGGCCTTGAAGGTAAACAAGGAGAATCTATTCTTTACTAAAAAGTTGAAATAATAATTCATATTTTTATATCATTTCAAGGTTTGCAAAATACTCTCCTCAGAAAGGTTGGTAGGTACTTCAAGGATTATTATTCCCATTTTACTCCATTGATTTTTCCACTGTATCACATTGAGTCTTTCCTTAATTAAGCCCCAATACTCTATCCTTTTGCAACCATTAAGGAAAGCATCTTTTTACCACCAGAAATAGTTCTGTATTCCTGCATTTGTTTGTTGGAAATCTACTGAGGCAAACAGAAGTTGTGACTAGCTCAGGGGTCACACAGCTAGTAAGTGTCTGAAGCTAGATTTGAACTCAGGTCTTCAGGTCTCCTGGTCCAGCATTTTTGTCCCTTTTCAAAACAAAATAGATGAACAACATGATAAAGCAAGAAGATATTATTTGATCATTTATTGTGTGCTGTTGTGAATAACGTTGGATGAAAAACCTGTAATTCACATTTCTCTAGTTATCCCAGCTATACATCACCTAGAAAAGTGTTCCAGGATAAATGTTCCATCATTCTGACTCCCTTACATAGTAGATGTTCTATATTTGTCCTTTTCAGTAATGGTCCAAAATTAAGATCTCCTTGAAGTACAAGTTATAAGTAAGACTTGAAAAGGCAACGGCAGTGGCTTTTGGGCCAAGAAATTACCAATCTAATTTTGTGGAGGTTCCTACCAGCAGAACATTCCTATATACTTTGAGGAAAACTCTGTTCCCATGCTTTTGAGTGATTTCATAGGAGAGAAGAGGAGAGTAGCAAAGAGGTACAAAGCCAGGCATGGACTAAGCCCCATGATTCATATGGGAGACATTATTCTAAGTTGTCAAGTCTACCTTCTAAAAAGGAAAAAGGTTTCTCTGCTAAAAATTTTTTAAAACTTCCTAAATGAGTAAATTAAATCCTACCCAATGCCTTTGAATTGCTATTTTGCCCACATTCCTTCAGGATTTTGTAAGTTCAAAGACATCATCAAAATTATCAAATCTCTCCAAGAGTACAGACTTCTGTCAGGACTCTTACTAGCTTTTGCCAACCCATGTAAGGAAGTGGACCCAAGAGAAGGCCCTGAAACATGTGACTTATTACATATTTTAGCCCTGTCTTTCTATTAGCTCACACCTCACAAAATTCAGTCACCTTGTATAAGGCCTTGGGTGCAAAGAAAAATTTGACTGAGTGCATATGATTTTTCAAGTGTCATAGTATCCAGATCTGACATTCAGTATCACTACAGTATGTGGTACATTTATACCAATAGTGCAACCCAGGGCAATCTATCTTTCCATGTTTTGTTATTTTTTAGGTGCCAACTGCAAAAGCTACTCCCGTATTTATGTCATCTTAACATCTGCACAGTCTAAAATCAGTTTATCTTCTAGAAAGAGTCAGTGTGGCATTGTAAATGGAACCTTGGAATCAGAAATCCCAGGATATAAGTTCTGTTTCTGACACATCCTAGCTGTCATGGGAAAGTCACGTAACTTCTCTGTGCTCCCAGATAGCTGTCTATGAAACCACGTTGGATCTACTTGTAGACGATTGGTGGAAAGAACTTCCATCCTGGCAGTTACCCACACTGATTAAAAAGAGATATACTCGATTACTACCTGAGAATTCAACTGTGGGGGAACCAGATGCTAAAGTCATGCTATAGTAAGGACATTTACTTCATTTGGAAAATTCAAGTATTTCTCTTCTTAGAAATCAATTCTTCATGCTAATTGTAGTAAGATGGTGATAGGGCAATACATTCATTGCCTGTATGAGTTTAAAGGTGTGCTCTTTTTAGAAGAAATGATTTTCCTTACAAATGTGCTATATTTTTATTCATGGCAGGTATGGATGGGCTGGGATCTACATCAGTGGAGGAAATACCCACATTGATGAGACTGTAGATTCACTGGAGCACCAAAACAAGAATTTTCCTGGCTGGTGCAATCAGGTCACGGCTGCTCCAAATGAGTAGTAAACGTTGTTTTTCTACCATATGCACTGCTTCATCAATGCATTGGGAATTTGCTTCAGCTGCTCAGTATTTTTTTTTCCCCTTCATTGGTCTAATAGGAGAAATCCTTTTTTCACAGGCACTAAGAAGATTCTGAAAGGTCATTGCATGTGATATCACATATACATTTCTGGTTAAGGGGAGTGCCACTAGAAACTCAGGAAGCTGTTGATATTCACTACGAATATTTCTAAAATGCCAATGCCCATTTTCAAATTTCAGTGAACCACAACAGCCCAGTGCCCCTTGTCCAAACTTCCCCATGGGGGCTTCTGGACAAATAAGTTCTGATTTTCTTCTAAATTTAATGTAAGTTTCTTCTATTTATATTGCCATTTTGGGGAGGGGAAGAAATTATTATTTTTTAACTGAGTTCATTCTCTTGGTAATTGACACATACATATATATGACATATGCATAAATATATATATATATGTATATATATATACATATATAACATTAAAGAACATATACAAAGCTTTGATTTCAGGAGAAAGGATTGGTTTTGCTTTAAAAAAAAAGTTTAAAAGGTACCCTGCACTAAGTGCATTATTGTTAAGGAAACTACTACATAGCAGCAAAAAACAAAACAAAACAAAACAAAAACACCACTACATTAAACTTTCTGATTTCTTCATAGGGTCCTTAGATAAGTAGACTACCCAGTAGACCATGTTAAATGCTCCAAATGTGACAGGGAAGAGAATCCGGGCATATTTGTCTATTTTACTCGTGCCAGAGCCTAAAGGTGGGGGCGCAGGGGGAGGCGTGACAGCCGACGATTTTCCAGAAGATCCAAAAGTATTGACCTTGGTTTGGATCTGTTTCAGTCTCGATCCAAAGAGATGACGCCTCGCTGGAGAGACAGTGGAGACCAGCTGGGACACATACCCAGTTAAAATAGGAGTGGATGGAGGTGCTCGAGGAGGTGCTCGAGCAGCAGAGATTGTCTCAGCTGCATTTGCCCGACTGAATGGGTTGGGACTGGAAGCCAGATAGGATTGTGGTGTGGTGCCAGAAGGCCCCTGAGCTTCTGCAGAACTCCCCATTGACGCGTTTCCGGTCTCGGTCCTGTTGCCAACATCAGCATCAGATTGAACTGGTACATTGGTTCTTTTTCTCACATTTGAATTGGCATCTGTATTCTGAAAGAATAAGGGGTGGGGGGGAGGGAAAGAGAATCAGTATCAGACATATAATTATTTTAAGTGTTCGGACTAATGTCGAGTGGGGTTAAAACTCCTTCCAGTAGGCCAGATCTTGAAAATCAATCCTTAAATATAAAGCATTCCATGGTACTTCAGCTTCACCCAGAAGCTTAAAATATTACTCTAAATTCAAATGAATTTCCACATGCTTCAAGTTGTCAATCAAGGACCTTCTTCCCAATACATTAATTATTTCTACAAGTAATTGGACAATGAATCTGCAAGGAACTGTATTAAGCAAGAATGTGTTTGTTTTTATTTTGAGAGTTCATGCCTTTAGCTGTATATATTCTGCATTCATTGTTCTCTTCTATTGTAAAGCATCTCATGTCTGAAATTCTCCAATTAGGCATTGTAAACATTTCAATAATTTTTTTAAGCAGAAGGAACATCTGTTTTTATGTGCTGCATGACAAAACAGTTTTGTCCTTGTGTTAACTCCTTCCTTTTGAGAATTAGAAAAAAATCTTTAATTTCCAACTTCTCAATACTTCCTTTCATAAGAAGAACCTTAAGCTATATGGTATACATGATACTGGTGCACTTGGGTGTTTATATGAGAGGGATGACCTGGGATTAGGAATACCTGGGGTATTCTAATATACCAGAGGTGTATTGGAGCCAGCTTCAAACAAGCTAGTGAGTACCTATAGGAAATTTTTTTTTAATGCACATTTATACCTGAGAAATCCACAAGACTGAGAAAAGTGTTGGAGAAAATGCCAATAATGCTGATTAAGCTTAAAAGTGTACCTCCAGGGCAGCTAGGTGGTACAGTGGATAGAGCACCGGCCCTGAGGTCAAATCCGCCCTCAGACCAAACACTTGACACTTACTAGCTGTGTGACCCTGGGCAAGTCACTTAACCCCAATTGCCTTAAAAAAGGGGGTACCTCCCTTTCCTCCCCCCCCCCATGATTGTTCAACATTTGCCAACACGATGCTGGTTTCAAAGTTTTCCCCTGACTCGGGCTATCTAAGAGACCACAGGTGAATCACTTAATCTCTCAGTGCCACAGACCATTCTCTAAGACTAAAGTTCATCTGCATTTGCTGTAGGAAGTTTGCATAAGTGGAATTTCCCACTCTGATGATATCTCGGGTTCTCAGAGTAGAAAACAATACACAAATATCCAATGTACACTTAAATTTTACATGTCAATATTTCCCTTTAAATTAAATTTTATAATATTCTTTTGTTGAGTAACAAATCAAAATAAAACTTTCATGAATATTTTTGAGGGTATTCTCCCTTCTCAATACTAAAACTTGAGTAAACAATGAATTTTTCAAGTATGATATCAAATATTTGAATAGTATCCCTTTATGACATTTCTTATTTGCATCATCAGCCTTGGAGAGAATAAAGGTTTAATTTTTAACAACCTGTTATCAAATAGCAGTTTTCCAATAAAATCAAATCTATTTGCTTTGGAGGATTTTTCAGACTTTTTTCTCTGTTGACAAATCTTATATCTGTATAAAGCTTAATGATATATAAAGCCATTAATGTAAAATTTAAGCTATATGATGTTAAGCACAATAAATCAACCAATTCTATGCCAATTATGCTAATAATCCCAAATTTATTAAGTGTCTATCTTGTCCAAGGCACTGTGCCATGGACTGGGCAGGCAAAGACAAAAAAGAAATATGCCTTGCCTCCAGAGTTTACATTCTATCAGGGCGACAACATACATATAAGTAAATATATACATACATATATATACATATATATATATATATATATACACACACATATATGTGTGTATATACACACACATATATGCATGCATGCATGTATATAGGCAATATAAATACAAGGTAACTTGGTGGGGAGGAATTAGCAGCTACAGGAATTAAGAAAGGTCTTAAGTTGGAGGCCCCTCTTGAGCTGAACTTTGGAGGACGGCAGTGATTCCAATAAACCAAAAATTATTTATATCTGATTGTGGAATGAATTGTGATTTTTGTCATCCTGATTATTATGCTTAAGTAATACTTCCTAAAAAAAGATTTTACCCCCAAGACATAGCAGAGGAAGGGAAAGGGCAGCTTAGAAGGGAGATAGATTCAGAAGGAAGCTAACAATGGATAAAATACTGACTGCAAGTAATCCACAAAGTAAATCATCTACACTCAGATAATTGAGAGTTGGCAGCATAAAGGCTGCTTATGAAAGCATTTTTGTTTGGTACTACCAATAGCCTTAAAGCTCCATACCAGGTATGCTACCCAAGTTCAATTCCTATCTCATAGACACAATGAATCATGATTCCAAGGTCACTGGGTGTAGAAAGGGAAAGTTCTAAATTTGGAACCAAATGAGACTCTAGGAGGGAGAACAAACATTCTTCATGTCAGCCTACAGTAATTTTCCAAGCAGGTTGCAGTTGAACTAATGAGAAGACATAGTCTAACATATGGCAGGCACCTCAATTTGAATGAAGACAATTGAAGTAACAATTGACATCCACCTAACACTTGAAGAGCCCATTACTTACCCAGCACTTTTTTTTTGCTGCAAAGCACTTACAAACGTTCCCTAATTAATCCTCACACTTTTAATGCTTCTGTGCTGAAGATATTATTGCTTCCAGCTTATAGAATAAGAAAATAAACCAGAGAGTGACTTGGCCAAGGTTATAGAGAGATGATGAGAGTGGGAGGGGAGGGGAAATATGTTTTCTCCCCATTTAGAATCCCAATTTTTACAAAATCTGTTGATTTCAATTCAGTTCAATGCAATTCAACTCAATTCAACAAGTATTATTGAGTACCTACTACGCACTCATTGTTATTATGGAGCTTGAAAGGAAAACAAGTAAAAAGAAATAGAAACCACAGTCTACTTACTATCTTATGGACTCAGGAACACATGACAATAAATGGTAAACATGAGGCAGTATGTGTTCAAGCACCAAAATATGTGGCATAAATATTTACTAAATTACAAAAAAGTCAGGGAAAGGAGAAATGACTAAATGACCAGTTGAATTCATATTCCAAAATAGACATGAAGTAGATACTTTTAAATCTAATTTAATCTTTAGGTAATAGCATCACCAGAAAAAAAAAATGAAGAGGCTGGTTCATTGGGCAACATTTCAAATTTGAGAGGAATAAATGTAAGGTCTTTTCTTATGCTTTTGTTTAAAATATTAACTTTGTAGAAAAAGGATGAAGAAGTATGGCTAGTCAGCACTTTAAACATGGAAGGTTGAATGAAATGCAGGCTTGGAATCAGTTACCAGTGTCAGATGGCTATCAAGAAAGCTTTTGCAATCTCAAAGAAAAGCATAAAGGCCAGGGCTAGGGAGGTGACCATTCTTCCTTCGTCAAATAATTTCAAGAATATTTTGTTAGTTTGGGGCATCACATTTTGTTGCTGCTGTTCTTCAGTCATATCAGTTGTGTCTGACTCTTCATGGCCCCATTTGGGGTTTTCTTGGCAAAGGTACTGGAGTGGTTTGCCACTTCCTTCTCCAGCTCATTTTACAGATGAGGAAACTGAGGCAAATAGGGTAAAGTGACTGGCCCAGGGTCACACAGCTAGTAAGTGTCTGAAGCCAGATCTGAACTCAGGAAGATGAGTTTTCCTGACTCTAGGCCTGGCAATCTAACCACTGCACTACCTGGATGCCTCTTACTCATTTTATAAATGAATTATGTCCAGAGGAGGGTAATGAGAATGGTGAAAGGACTCAAGGTTCATACCACAGGAGAGTCAGTTGAAAGCTCTGGAAATGTTCAGCCAAGAGAAGTGAAGATTTAGGGAGTGATGCGCTAGCTGTCTTCTAGTATATGAAGGGTTGTTATGTGTTTGGTCCCAGAGGGCCAAACTAAGAGCCGATTTAGTTTTTCTACAAAGAAAAACTCCCTAACAATTCATACTAGCCAAGAAATGGGATTGGCTACCTTAGGACATAGTATTTTTTCCCTTCACTGGAGGTCTTCAAGTAAAAGTTTAATGAAATCTTGTTGGGTATGGATGAAAAGAACTTTGAGTAATATATATTCCAGTCCCCTTCCTCCCACAGGGCAGACTTCAACTCCTTCAAGCCTTCTCATTCTATATGAAGTTAATCCATGTCAGTCTGTAAATCCTCCCAAAAGTATTTACATAATACATGTGAGCCATTCCTCCAGTTCTTTTAATAATTATTAACACTTGAGCTATATATTTATTGCATTTGATTCTCACTATATGACTGGTCTACTTTTTCTACTTATGAATCTCCTTGAAGAAGTCTTTTATACTATTTATCACACAGGTCTGTGGAATATGATATATATGGTATTAAAATAATATAATTAATATACAAATACAATATATCGATTATATTATATAAATATATATAAATAGCATATATAAAAATAATCATTAAACTACCATTATGTCTTATATACTATATCTATGTACCATGGTATATAGGGCATAACGTACTGCATTACTACCTACTCAGACCCACCATTCATTTTCCATTGTTCTTTGGATCACCTGCGACATTAAGTCTTCTGAGATAGTGGTGTTCCATGACTCCTGACCATATCATAGCTCCAGGTGCTAAAGAAATGAACTTATTTAGCAAGGGGACTCTAGGGTCACTCAACACACTTTGGAATGTCATTATCTGCCCTCAATTTTAACCCCTAATGCAGGGAACTGTCTATTTTAACCCTCTTGAAAAAGTTTCTTATTCAATTATTTTTACTAAGGCCAATGGTGGTAGCATGACAACCCCTCACTGAGTATTTTTGTGAATATGTGCTTTGATGTTGGCTAGGTCTGTCTATAATTGTCTATCCAAAGTCTGTGGCACTGTGCCAGATAGTGAAGAAACCTTATGGTAGAAACCACTTGTGAAGAAACCACTGAGAAGTGATGCAACATCAGCACACAGCCATCAAGTGCTTCAATAGGATGACAGTTTCCT